AGATGATATACCAATATCAAAATGTACAAGAAAATATTATCAAAGACAAGTTTTTTGTATTTATTTTCCATTTTCTTTATATGTCAATCACAGTTTAACAAAAAAAATTTGGTCAAGAACAAGTTCCAAATTAATAGTCAGGTGTGTTTTTTATGGGTTGGTTCCAATGCAGAATGGGCAAACAAATCATTTATTTTTAGCTCATACCTGGTGTGAAATGAGGAATTCAAGAACAGATAACTCTTGAGACTTGCATGTACAATACCTTGTCTGGACCTTACACTTAATCTGGACCTAATCTGCCACATAAACAAACGTCCCAATTTACAAATACGTGGAATCTGTACCAACAGGGTCACCTCTGATAAAGCCAAGAATTGATTACGTAGTGCTATGTGCCAACCTACTCAAATTATCTCCTACAACTACAAACCCACTGTGTAAAGAAAGACAGTGTAACAAACATTAGATCGCCCTGCCCTTCAGTGACTATCAATACATTATAACCATGAACAGTAGAGGATTATATCTAATCCGATATGGCCTGGCCATGTGATACAAAGGTTATCACCTGTGGTTGAGAAGATACAAGTGGTATCACCCCCAGGTGCTGATACGGGGCTGGGAGACTGGCAGGTGTTATCTCTATAAAAGGAGTATAGAAAACAGCTCATAAAAATTTAACACTTAAAATACTATTTCCAAAACTACCTATAGTTTCAAAGTTTCGCAAAATCAACGCCGATCTATGACACAAAACTACTTACTTTTCCATCAAATATTTCTTGTAAAATATCAATACATCTCCGATATCAAACATTTCATCTTTATTCAGCGACGTAAAGCAGATACTCATATGAAAGGGGACTAGTCCCCGGGCAGGTAACATAAAACTGATCCAGCTATAGGAATAGACGTTCTGTACTAACAATAACACAAGCATGTCTTCTGGGTATTGTGCATCACGAAGTAGGTCAAATACTGAATACAGTTTCAACAGAAAACCTGCAATTTACATGACACAAATCTCTTTTGTTTGAGAAGTGGTAAGGGGAGGTATTGTGTGGGTCTGCATGATTGATCACATGTAATGGGACAGAGCCAGCAATCAATGATATCTCCTGCACGCCTGTCACATCTCCTGCTGGAGCTCTCACGACGACCTGCTGTCCTCGGTGGTTACAGGGATAGCAGGGTCCATACAGGGTCCATATACCAGGATAGCAGGGTCCAAACAGGGTCCATAGTACAGTCCATATACCTGGTGTAGTAGGTCCATATACGTGGCATAATACAGCCCATAGGGTCCATATACCTTGCATAGTACAGTCCATATACCTGGCGTAGTAGGTCCATATACGTGGCATAATACGGCCCATATACCTGGCAGAGTAGGTCCATAAACCTGGCAGAGTAGGTCCATAAACCTGGCATAGTAGGGTCCATATACCTGCTACGGTAGGGTCCATATATCTGGCATATTACTGCCCATATACCTGGCATAATATGGTCCATATACCTGCCGCAGCATGTCGATATGCATGGCATAGTATGGTCCATATACATGTCATAGTATGGTCCATATACCTGCCACAGTATGGTCCATATACATGGCATAGTACGGTCCATATACATGGCATAGTACGGTCCATATACATGGCATAGTACGGTCCATGTACCTGCCATACTACGGTCCATATACCTGCCACAGTATGGTCCATATATATGGTATAGTATGGTCCATATACAGTCCATGTACCTGCCATACTACAGTCCATATACCTGCCATAGTATGGTCCATATACATGGCATAGTATGGTCCATATACCTGCCACAGTATGGTCCATATACATGGCATAGTAGGGTCCATATTCCTGGCACAGAACGGTCCATATACCTGGCACAGTAGGATCCATATGACTGGCATAGTACGGTCCATATACATGGCATAGTACGGTCCATATACCTGCCACAGTATAGTCCATATACATGGCATAGTACGGTCCATATACCTGGCACAGTAGGATCCATATGACTGGCATAGTATGGTCCATATACATGGCATAGTATGGTCCATATACCTGCCACAGTATGGTCCATATACATGGCATAGTACGGTCCATATACCTGCCACCTTACGGTTCATATGACTGGCGAAGTATGGTCCATATTATCCCAACGTGGCAGAGACAGCAATAATGACCCCATATACATGGCAGACACAAGCACACCATACCAATGTGGTGCTATGTTGGAAATGACAGGCATTAAGTTACACAAATTTACTGCCAGGACCATGGCTATATCAACATCCACCCTCTCCTCTGACTTTGACAGACGTAGTGCCATCACGGTCTGGGTTCAAGCCTAGGTTGTGACCTGGGCCATCTGGTCCCTCCAACCCCTGGGGTGACACTTCCCACAAACCCCTGGTCAGTCTCAGGACCTGGTCAACACCATGTACACATTGGGATTGGCTGGACAAACACACCCGGGAAGTGGAAACTACCTGTTATTGATGTTAAACACATGGGAAGGCAGTCGCCAGCTGACCACTGGTCAATTCTTGTATCCCACAGCGATTAAGCATGTAGTACGGCAGCATGCCCACACACAAAGTAGCCCTGGTCATCACAGATCAAACACTTTTCTCCATTCATGGTCAGGAAAGACACTTAGGAATAAATAACACCCGTAATTAAATATTAAATACTTCCAATTTGCAAATTGTTAAGCTAAAGAAATATAAACAATTGATCCTCAGACATTGTCTTCTGACAAATTAGCATATCCTGTCCAACAAATTTGTTTCAGTGAAACAGTTAATATTTTAGGTTAGTTGAGCAGAAAGAAAATGCTTTCAATGTAGAGTGTTTGGGGCAATCCATCGTTTTCTAAGAGATATTTTCACTTAATATTTGTTGAGGCATTAAGTTTCTTGCATGAGGTGAGATAAGGTGAAATGGGGTTTAATGTCGCGTCCAAGATTATTGCACTTATATAGTGACGTGCATGTATGTGTGTGTGTGTGTGTGTGTGTTTGTGGCTGCTTGTACTAGTCCGGACTGATGCCGATTTATAGTGCTAGCTCACTCAGATACCATGCCGCAGTTTAACATGAATACCCACTCAGACACAGTATACTGACTCCGAGCAGACCAGTCCTTGTTTTAGTCCCTTAATGCCGAGCGCCAGACAGGGTAACAACAAGTACCATCTTTTAACGTCTTTTGGTATGACGCGGTCGGGGATCGAGCCCCGGACCTTCCGCTCTCCGGGCGGACGCTCTACCACTAGACCACAGAGGCGGTCTTTCTTGCATGAATGAGACATAAGGCTCTCTTGTCCTCAAGACATTGGACATAAACATGTAATGGTTTCCACGTGAGATAAGCAAGTAGATTAATGATTCAATGATTCAATGTCTACTCACAAACAGTGGAAGCTCGTTCACTCAACAACAAAATATTGATTACATATTGGAAACATAGCGTTACTTATGACTATCTTGTCATACATATTGCAAAGCATGAAAGTATTGCGAGCATAGCAGGGCATCCTTCAGATGACATCTGACCTTGTGAGCTTGATGACGGGGTTAACCTTCTTGGTCAAGGCGGAAGGTCTATGGTTTGAATCCCATCACATTTTACACAAAAAATGTGAGTGACCCTGCTCACATTATAAATCGATATCATTATCGGGACACATTGAAGTATACTGTCATGTCGGTTCACTGCAGAAGCGCTATCACCCTATACAATATCATGGAATTCAATGTCTACAGAGAGAGTGATTATTGCCTCATGTTGAATCAGCAATAGGGGAGCTATTCACGGCGATCAATGTCTAGTGTTGGTGTTATTGTTTGCTGATCTGTTTTTAAAGATCAAAGGTAGGGCTACTCTCATTAATTTCAAGATGCACTTTAAGTCAAGGGTCAACACTCGCATTCATTTGGCGATGCATTCAGTTCATGATTTACAGTTGTTAATTGACTTCACGAGTCGTTGGCTATCAAATCAGGCTTTACAACTTGGTTCAGTTTGCTCACTCAGGTGAACATGAGTGTTTATTGTTTAACGCTGCACTCAGCAATATTCCAGCTGTATGAAGGCGGTCCTTAACTAATTAAGTCTGGAATGGACAATCCAGTGATTGACATCATAAGCATCGATCTATGCAATTGGGATACAATGACATGCATCAACCAAGTCAGCGAGTCTTACCACCCCTAACCATTAGTTGCCTCTCACAACAAGCATGGGTTGCTGAAGACCTATTCTACCCCAGATCTTCACGGGTGTAAACATGACTGCGTGAGGTGGATAAAAACAGTATTTCACTGATAACATCAGCATGTCAGTCAAGAAAGACCAGGGGTGACATTTACCATGTTGTGGACGGACAGGGAAATCTAGGGTTTCAAACCTACAATCAGCAGATCCTGGTGCAACACTGCACCAGGATCTGCAATCCTTAGACCCCTGGATCACCCAAACCTCCCTGAATGCTTCAATCAACAACAGCCCAAATACCAATATATTTTTTTTAACACGTTAAAGAACAGCCACTATTGGAAGGTTGTGTGCTGCATTAGTATAACAGTGATAGAATATGGCACTGGTCCTTTAGTCCTTGCCTAATCACCCAACAGTTAAGGACCATTAGAAATTTGCCATTCAAAAGTGTTTTGATATGTGCTATTATTATGAGGACAAGCAGAATAAAATGCTTTTATTGCTGAATACTCACCAGCCATGACAAATTAACTACAGTCATATGAATTGAGTGAGTGAGTATTGATTTATGCAGCTTTTAGCAATATTCCAGCAGACACCAGAAATGGGCTTCACACATTGTACCCATGTCGGAACCAAACCCAGGTCTTTGATGTGATGACCGAACACTTTAACCACCAAGCTACCCCACCGCCAAAGAGAGTCATATGAAAATCAGGTGTTCCTTAACTTGTCTTGTGTAGCATATATACAACTTACTGGTATTTTCAAGTGTCTAGCTGCCTGATTGGCTGAAACAGCGGCTGCCGCGGCTGCTGCATCATCAAGAGATTGGTTCTGAAGCTTCTCCGTTATCAGCGCTAGCATCGTCTGAGATAAGAGCGAGGCCTGGAAGGCATAAAACCAGGGTGCGAAGGGGCTCAATGCCGGGCCATGGAGGTGTGGTTGCGTGGTCACTCCTTGACCAATCAGAAAGTGGCTGCCACCACATCGGATCATTGAGCTTGAAACTCAGACCCCAGGCGAGAGAGAGAAAGCTCCATGCTGGACTGGGGGAGGTTGGTCGGGCCAAGTGCACGTGTTTGATGGACTCTGAAATACACAAAAATACATAAAGTCCATTGATAGACAAGTTAACATGGAATTGCGATCACATTTTTCATGACATTTGTTAGGTAGTGGTTTCAGTTGGAGTGAGCGATGTAATATGATTGAGTCAAATGAATTTCTCCAATGACACACCCTGAACAGACCTTTTCAATTAGGGGTGAGCAGTTGGGCTATTTTCCAATCTCATTGAAATCAGATCTTAGTTTTCGCAAGTCGCTACCGCTAAACAAAGATCTGAGGACATCCCATTACGGGTCACGTCAGACTGACCTTGCTCGAACTTTGACCGACCTTTAGAAGGACCGAAAAGAAGTCGACATTAGCCAATCAGAAGGCAGCTTTCTCGTGCTTTACGGCACTAATTTCAAATTGGCGACTACGCCTCGAAACATATTTTGACAAATTGTCGATTAAAAATTTGAAACCTGAACAAAAGAACATTTTGGAATGGCTATTAGATGGTCTAGATTGTATCGATTCAGTCGTTAAACCCGTAACTATCGTTCGGAATACCCCGTGTTAAAGTTTTCAAGACTTGCAAGATTGAAAATCACATTCCAACTGTCACTTTCATGATCTGGAAAGCGACGCTCTGTTTGGTCAGACGAAAGGTCGTTCTGACGTGACCCCTAATGGGATGTCCTCAGATCTTTGTTTAGCGGTAGCGAGAACGAAGATCTGATTTTAATGAGATTGGGCTATTTTCACTACTGCGATTGTATTGCAAGAGTAGCCCTTACTTTTGCAATAGGACTGCGATAGTAGTAAACCAACTTCAAAGTAATGCTGACAATCTCAAACATGGTAAATTTTCCTGTCGCAACTCAAACCAAAGGGAAGTAAGTTCAAGTAACTCTAATCTGAAGTTGTCGTAATCCTTGCTAACCAACCACACAGGCAGGTTTGTAATTTGCATAATATATGTTTTAATCATAAATATTGAAACTATCAATTGTGATCGAACAATTGTGATAGTTCAGTAGTTTGATATATCGTGAACTCCCATCTTCAAGTAACAGATCAATATCTTGAAAATTATTACTTTCCAAATATATCTTACACTGATCAGGATACTTCAAAGACAAATTATGCAATGAGGCATCATTGGCTTGGTGAGGTAAGGTGAAATGGGGTTTAACGTCGCGTCCAAGATTATTGCACCTCTATAGCGACATGCATGTACATGTGTGTGTTTGTGTGGCTGCTTGTACTAGTCCGGACTGATGCCGATTTATAGTGCTAGCTCACTGAGATACCATGCCGCAGTTTAACATGAATACCCCTCTCAGACACAGTATACTGACTCCCGGCCAACCAGTCCCTGTTTTAGCCCTTTAATGCCGAGCGCCAGACAGGGTAACAACAAGTACCATCTTTTAACGTCTCTTGGTATGACGCGGCCGGGGATCAAACCCCCGGACCTTCCGCTCTCCGGGCAGATGCTCTACTACTAAACCACGGAGGCGGTCTCATTGGCTTGGAGTTGATGAATAAGATATTCATTATTAAACATCACCAGCATTAGGTCTTTGGCATAGTATTTGAATCAAAGGGCCCTTAACTCAACCATTCACAGCGTAAAGACTATGACATGGACCCTTTGACTTCCATCCTTCAATTGTAACACAGCATCGCCAACCAGCAGAATACATAGGTCTAAACATGCTACAGTGGCCATAATGACTTCAGGGCATCCATTAACAGTAACACTTATCACACTAATAGTAACCATGGTAACACTTTTCACAAACTACCTGACATTATTTCCTAGTCGTCTTGTTTTACCAAATGTTCAGTGTTAATAAGGGCTAAAAATGTTTTGAGACATCTCCTCAGACCTACAGTGGGTACCCGGGTAGGGTCGGGTAATAGGGGGGTGGGTACCCAGGTAGGGTCTGGTAATAGGGGGTGGGTACCCGAGTAGGGTCTGGTAATAGGGGGTTGGTACCCGGGTAGGGATGGGTAATAGGGGGGTGGGTACCCAGGTAGGGACGGGTAATAGGGGGTTGGGTACCCGGGTAGGGTCGGGTAATAGGGGGGTGGGTACCAGGGTAGTAAATTTGGACTTGTCCCAGCCCTAGTGTTAATACCTGTGGCCAGAATAATTACTTTCTTTGAAATTGTATGAAAGTCTTGACATCTTGACTTTCTGCTAAGGGGCCATCATGTGAGACAAAACCAGTCTACAATACATACTATCAAGAACAACTGTTTGGATATACTCATCTCGTGCAGCACTTCAGATGTAACACGAAATATATCACCTTCACTAATCCAATCAGTATCCAATCATCTACAGCCCTTACTAATCAGTGGCCAATCATACAGTGAGGCCGTCCACGACACCCTGCATCCAAGTACAAGGTAACTGTGCAAGACGTAATAACATCGTGGTCAGATCAAACACCTCCTGACCTATCTGTACTCGGCATAATCCCACTGACAAGCATTAAGCCTCGAGAGAGCTGCTGGTGCCCTAGACTTGCATAAGTCTCTCAGGCAATAAATCTGAAGTCAGTAGATTTGTACTATCCAGACTTGCCTAAGGTTAGAATTACTCTACACCCATGGACTTATCATTCAGTACAGCCTTGGAGCAAGGCTACTGACACCCAGTCGTGACAAGATAAGTGGACGGAAGCCTGTTAGACTGAAAATATATGATTTTGATAGAAAAAAATAACTCCATGTAAATTGAAAAGGAGCTCCAGTGAAGAAGTTCAGAACCTAAGAAAAATCTAGCCTTGCTTAATTTAGGACTTTTGCATTACAGACAGGGCTAGGCGGGAGTCAATATAAGATGGTTCAGGGACTGGGAGACAGACTAGAAGCCTGTGATACTCAGAAAGCTGATTCTGAAGATGCTGATTCTCTACAATGGTTCCTCACACACCCCAGGGGACATCTCAAAATCAGATAGATGTTTGGAGTAGGTCTGTTCCAAGTTTTCTATTATTTAGAGATACAATGCTGCCTTGAACAGTATTCATTCATATCAGTGTGGAATAGTAGAGGAAATCCAAATTAATACATTTCATGGACGTCTGGTGAAACCCACAAGTGTTTGTTTTGGATGAACCAAGAACCATAATCAAGGCGAAACTTCACAGATTTTGACTCAATGATTTGTTTGTTTGTTGTTTAACGTAACACTCAACAATATTTCAGCTATATGACAGCGGTCTGTAAATAACTGAGTCAATCCAGTGATTGACATCATGAGCATCAATCCAAGCAATTGGGATACAATGACAAGCATCAACAAATTCAGCGAGCCTGACCACCTGATCCCGTTAGTCGCCTCTTACAACAAGCATAGATCTTTACGGGGCTGGTGTCAATGAATAAAGGGCAGTAAAGTATAGATATTACTTGAGAAAGAAAATAAAACAAATCTTTGAACCATTAAAGTACACAGACTGCTGACTTGATGTCCAAAATGGTGTAAATGACTTTTGAGATGTTCCCTTCCAAACATTTTCCATGTAATGACTATATTGGTTGAGTCCTGTCATGCCAACGACTGGGCAGTGTTGAGCTATCAGCAGCCTCATTCCTTGTACTCCATCAGCACTATCAGACATCGAAAACATGCAGACAACAAGATGATTGCCAGCCAGCACATCTTTCGCCTCCGCTGTTTGTTCACCACCATATTGTTTGTTTTGTCAAATAACTGCATTTATTCAAACAATCATTTCTATCAAAGGCTTAGCAATTAATTCCAAAACAACAAAATCTACATTCCATTCACATGACAAATAGGCTTTCTTAAAGTGAGTGAGTGAGTGAGTGAGTGAGTGAGTGAGTGACCACAGCCAGTAGCTGATGACAGCATAATAGGCCCATCACAGCTTCAAAACTAACCTTTTTTTAAGAACTCCAAACAAAAGCTTTAACCACTTGGCAACCCACCACCTCTCACACAAATGTAAACAACTAACAAAGGAATTATTCCTGCCAACTCATCATAAATACAGCAAAAATGTCTGTAGGGTATACCTGATTTATCACCTGCATGAACTATTGGCCTCAACTGGGTGGGGCCACTTCAAGAATCAGCACCAAAAACAGGCAAAGATTGTAGGACTTCAGATAACATACAATAAAACACAAGGAAAGAGTCAGTCATGGGTACATTCTTCCTGACGGGCTGTCACAGGTATATTTCACAACACGACTTTGTCCACAACAAAACCAATCAATTATGAAGAAACAAACCACACACAGAAACCAATGAAAACACTTGGAGAGGCACACATCAAACATAAGCTTTCACAAATACTCAGCAGTGTGATCAACATTATCAATATTCACAACAGCAAACACACCTGACAAATGACACCTTGAACAGAACAAAGGCCCTGCTCCGAGAGCGAGGGATTGCAAACACGGGGACTATCAAGAAGATATATTGATGCAAATAGCCAGTACCAGTATGTCAATAAACAGTGAGTCATTCACTGGCACCGATCCCAGCATGGGATATAATGTGCACGCTGTAAATCTCTTCAAGGATATCGAAATGCACACAGATAATCATAATATGCAGGATGGCAATCAATTTCGTACCCATTGCTAAAGCTATTTTTCTAGATGTTTTATGTAGGTTACACATTTCTTTACGATCGATAAAAAACTTAGAGCTGATAAAATATTACTCCTAATATGAACATTTTTATTTTTTTATAGTTATTTTATTGTTCCCAGAGTTTGAGCGTAATACAGTATTCCATCAAAATATATTTCAGATTGCATAGAATGACACAGTACACTCTTTAAAAATTTAAGGTTTGGAAACAAACATTGTCACATTTTAAACCAAAAAGGTTGCAACACACAATCACACTCAAGCATAGCATGTATCAACAGAGAGCTAAGAATCAAATGCTGAGAATAAAAGTGACCTAAAGTTTAGTTATAAAAGTTATTTTTGTCATCCTTTTTATAGCAAAAAAATTATCCATTGAACATATGTTTTAAGTAGTCTTAAAAGTATATATATTTTCGGTTTGGTTCCTTTGATTCAACATACATGAATATGCATTTTCCCAAATAAAAGTATTTGATTGATTAAAGTATTAGAGTAGTTACAACCAAACCAAATACGATATTTTGTTAATTTAATTTTTTGTGAAAGATAATTATTAAGCAAAAGTTTGAGATCATTCCAAAATTGTTTAATTTCATTACATTCCCAAAAGACATGGCTGATGTCCTCAATGATCACATTACAAAAGCTACATACACTGTCGTTACAAGATTCGTTGTTTATTGGTTGGTTGGTTGGTTGTTTTACGCCGCACTCAGCAATATTCCAGCTTTATGACGGCGGTCTGTAAATAATCGAGTCTGGACCAGACAATCCAGTGATCGACATTAAGAACATCGATCCATGCAATTGGGATCGATGACATGCATCAACCAAGTCAGCGAGCCTGACCACCTGATCCCATTAGTCGCCTTTTACGACAAGCATAGTTGCCTTTTACGGCAAGCATGGGTTGCTGAAGATCTATTCTAACCCGGACCTTCAGGAGTCTCGTTGTTAATAGTTCCTTCTTTGTGTAGATAATTCCACACAGAAATCCGTATTGAATGAAATATTTATACCACCGAATACCAATAAAATATGTCTGATAGCCAATTTAATGCTGAGGGTGCATTTCATAGGCTGTGTTCTGGACATGCAAACTATTATTCTGGACTTACAAAAGATAGAACTTGTAACAGTTAATTATTGGGTACATGTTACAGAAGATTCTTGAGAACATCTGACAGAATTGTTTGGGACACAAAGGCTTGTTTGTAACGTCGCACTCGGCAATATTCCAGCTTTATGCCGGCCGGCAGTACGTAAATATAGTCTGGACTAAACAATGATGTAATTGTTAAATGAGCATCGATCTACTCCACCAGAGTATGATGACACACAATCAACAAGGTCAACAAACCTGAACACCCAATCCATTAAGTGAGTGAGTTAAGGTTTATAGTCACATCGGCAATATTTCAGCCATATCGTGACAATACATTAAGACTGGCATAGGTTGCTGGGGACCAATCCTAACATGTCATCACCATGGAGACAAGCATTACTTGCTGGGGACCAATCCTAACCTGAAATCACCATGGAGACAAGCATTAGTTGCTGGGGACCAATTCCAACATGTTATCACCATGGAGATAAGCATTAGTTGCTGAGGACCAATTCCAACATGTAATCACCATGGAGACAAGCATTAGCTGCTGAGGACCAATTCTAACATGTCATCACCATGGAGACAAGCATTAGCTGCTGAGGACCAATTCCAACATGTAATCACCATGGAGACAAGCATTAGTTGCTGAGGACCAATTCTAACATGTAATCACCATGGAGACAAGCATTAGCTGCTGAGGACCAATTCTAACATGTCGTCACCATGGAGACAAGCATTAGCTGCTGAGGACCAATTCCAACATGTAATCACCATGGAGACAAGCATTAGTTGCTGAGGACCAATTCTAACATGTAATCACCATGGAGACAAGCATTAGCTGCTGAGGACCAATTCTAACATGTCATCACCATGGAGACAAGCATTAGCTGCTGAGGACCAATTCCAACATGTAATCACCATGGAGACAAGCATTAGTTGCTGAGGACCAATTCTAACATGTAATCACCATGGAGACAAGCATTAGCTGCTGTAGACCAATCGTAATCCTAACCCAGATTCCACACAATGTGGGACATCAAGGTATTTCCACTCCAAATTATATGCATAGCTTGGCCTTGATTGGACTGAATGATTCACTGATATGTCAAGTCACAATACCACTATTGTAAAATTGGCCAACATATCGATACGAATCAATACAAAATGATATGCAACACAGTTATTTATAAGCATGTTACCAGGTATTGAGGTACACAGTACATTTAATTGCATGCCACATTTTTCAGTGTTTGTTAAACGTTCACCAAAAAAAGTGGCCTAATTTGTTCAAACCAAACCGTCATTATCCACTTGTGACATTCTTTCCTATTCAATCTTATTATTTTTCGGATTTTTCGGATTTTTCACTATTCATAATGTCTGACTGCAGGCAGGCAACTTTGAAGATGGGCAGGCAACACTTACGGGTCACCTGCCTGTATACATCACATATTGATATTGAGTAACAGCCATACCTCGTGTGTAAAGAGTGCCTATATCTTGTAATGTATTGTCACAACTGCTAAAAGTACACCTGGTCAGATGTGTAGTACTTGTCAGCCTGACACATCACAGACAGCACACATTGGGGGTCAGTCCAAGTTGATTACATGTATGCTGTGATGGGTTCAGTGAGTGAGTGAGTGAGTGAGTGAGTGAGTTGGGTGAGTGAGTGAGTGAGTGAGTGGGTGGTAGGGTGGGTGAGTAAGTGATCGAGTGAGTGAGTGAGTGAGTGAGTGAGTGGAAGGGTGGATGAGTGAGTGAGTGAGTGATCGATAGGGTGAGTGAGTGAGTTGGGTTTAACAGTATTCCAGCTGTATCACTGCATGTGAGCTAAACATGGCAGGAAAGGTGGGGTGGGGTGAGGTGAGGTGAAATGGTGTTTAACATTGCGTCCATTCAACCACAAGACCACGGAGGTCTGGGGAAGGAAAGCCTGAAGTGAATCAGGTCTCCTACTTTTACTACTTCGGTGACACCCACCAGTACAGGTATGGTGCTGACAAAGCTTGAAAATAATCGGGGTGAACCCGGGTTCAAACCTACGATCATAGGTGTCTTGTGTGCTCATGGGATGAAACACTGCACAGCTCAAGACAATGAAGTTGTTGGGCTATATCTGTACTGAGTACTGCCGTTCACCATTTTGGTGAAGCTATGAACACAGGCGGAGACTGCAAAAGCATACGGACAATAATGTGGGTGAATCAGTGTTTGAACCTATGATCAGTGTATCCGGGTAGTACTAAGGGCCACAACTCTACATAGATGATATAACCCACAGGAGCACTAGTGCCCCTCATCAAATCTGAAGACAGACTCTTCCCGAGAACATATTTTATATTTTCATTAGTTGTTTAATTTAGCACCCAGCAATATTCATCTATATGACAGCGGTCTGTAAATAATCGATTCTGGACCAGACAATCCAGTGATTAACATCATGCGCATCGATCTAAGCAATTGGGATATGATGACACGCATCAACCAAGTCAGCGAGTCTGACCACCCGATCCCGTTAGTCGCCTCTTACGACAAGCATAGTCACCTTTTACGGCAAGCATGGGTTGCTGAAGACCTATTGAGAGGTCTCCCAGGTCAAGTGAAGGCAGTGTACTGGGCTCAGGAAATGTGGACACGATGGCCCAAAGTCAACACCAACTGTAGACTGGTCAGCTGCACTGCTAAAGAAGTCCACTTACCAATCTGATTAATCCTGATCACATTACCCAAACACCACAGCGATACCATTGGACCTCAGCCAGCGTTTATCAAAGCGGCTTTGCACATTCACAACTAAGTATGAAAAGACCATGGCAGGCGTACAAGACCTCTGTTTTTGCTTCATGTAAATCTGGTTGAAAGGAGATTTGCAAACAATGGCTGCCTGGCATGGTCCCAATACTTGTCTGATAATCTGCCCGGAATCTGCTTCATAGGAGCAGACGTGAATTCTTGTGAGGGTCGTGTGATGTTCCATACACAGGATTACAGTTCAATGGAGCGTAACAAATATGTTCGGTTGTCAGTCGCTGAATACCGCCCCACTCTAGTGTGACATTGCATTGCTAGGACCTACTACAACATGCAATTACTGAAACTACATCGGCAAATGCCACAAGTCTTGTGCCGGTTCACCAGCAAGATCAAAACGGCACATTTAATCCACTGAATGTATGTAATAGTAGCACGCTGTCACCAGGAACATAATAGTAGTAATTAATGACTTGGCAACTCCATAACCTTAACAGAAGCAATAACCCATAAATACTTTCATAATAAGCAATGCTTATCGGCTTCGGGAACAAACACTTGACATCATGTACTATCTTCCTAAGAAATTGAAAAAAAACAGGTGGTTGGGATAAGTGAAATATAGTCATTGTGCCACAACCCTTTAACCTGTTTTTCCTGGGGAATTGACGTTTGGGCAGGTCTGACTGTTAACAGCATAGGAAGTTATGAAATACAAACCTTAATTTCAAGTGAGTGAGTGAGTGAGTGAGTGAGTGAGTGAGTGAGTGAGTGAGTGAGTGAGTGAGTGAGTGTGTGAGTGAGTGAGTGTGTGAGTGAGTGAGTGTGTGAGTGAGTGAGTTGGGTTTAACGCTGCTTTTAACAGTATTCCAGTTATATCACGGCGTGTCAGCTTAATGTGGGGGGAAAGCCCGAAGTGATGCAGGTCTCAGACGTTTACCACTTCGGTGAAACCCACGTGCACGGGTATGGTGCTGACAAACCTAGAAACATAATCGGGGCGAACCGGGATTCGAACCCACAATCATAGATTTCTGGCGTGCCCAAGGGACGCAACTCTGCACAGCGAATCACGGCGCCTAAGACGACTTGGCCACCCGTGCCCCCGAGTGAGTGAGTGAGTGAGTGAGTGGGTCTTTTGTGAGTGAGGTGATGGAGTTAATTCCCCATACGTGAGTGAGTGAGGTGATGGAGTTAATTCCCCAAACATGATTGAGTGAGTGAGTGAGTGAGTGAGTATGGTTTAACGCCGCTTTTAGCAATATTCCAGCAATATCATGGAGGGGGACACCAGAAATGGGCTTCACACATTGTACCCATGTTGCGAATAGAACCCGGGTCTTCGGCGTGATGGGCAAACGCTTTAACCACTAGGCTACCAGACCGCCCCAATTTCAAGCAAGACAGGCTGATTGATATGAAACAACAAATTAACACATGTCCTTTGATGTTTGTTAACATTTCTGAAAGTGGGCGGCAAGAGTCCCACACTTGAGACTATTTGTATTACAAGATGCGCACCGAGATAACAGCGAAGTGTTGGTGCTGTGACTGCATAAAGTTGCCCTATCCTACAGGTTACGGCATGAAGTTGGCAAGCTGCCCCCTCTCAAAGGTTACTGCTACAGCCTCACCTGTTTGTGATGCCATTAAAAATTTATGGGAAAATGATACTTTAGAGACCTATGTAAAGCTTGATGGCTTAAGTAGCTTGTGAGTCCTGTACTCCCGAAGGTTGAGTGTGTAAGGTGTGGCGTGGTACAATATCAAGCTTGCAGATGTTTAGTCCTTGGTTGGAACATTTGGTAATTAGATCTGATCACATGCTTACATTGCCCTATCACTACAATCCTATCACAACTGACATCCTACCATCATCATCATCATCATCATCATTTTATGCCATCAAAACACTCTCCCCACCCTTAAACCACCTCTCTACCAACACATCCACTCCCAACACATGAAACCACCGTCCCTACCCCTCTACCAACACTTCCACTCCAAACACATGAAACCACCGTCCCTAGCCCTCTACCAAAACATCCACTCCCAACCCAACACATGAAACCACCGTCCCTACCCCTCTACCAACACATCCACTCCCAACCCAACACATGAAACCACCGTCCCTACCCCTCTACCAACACATCCACTCCCGACCCAACACATGAAACCACCGTCCCTACCCCTCTACCAACACTCCCAACCCAACACATGAAACCACCGTCCCTACCCCTCTACCAACACATCAACTCCCAACCCAACACATGAAGCCACCGTCCCTACCCCTCTACCAACACATCCACTCCCGACCCAACACATGAAACCACCGTCCCTACCCCTCTACCAACACATCCTCTCCCATCCTAACACCATTCCCGACCCAACACATGAAACCACCGTCCATACATACCACCCCACCACCCCACCCACCCACCAACAACACATCAAACAACCCTTTCCACCCCTCAAACCTACCCCTCTTCAAACAACACCCCAACCCACCCATCTCCTCAAACAACACCCAAACACCTACACCCATCTCTTCAAACATTATCCCACTCCCACCCATCTCTACAAACAACACCCCACCCCACCCATCTCCTCAAACAACACCCCACCCCCACCAATCTCTTCAAACAACACCCAACCCCACCCATTTCTTCAAACAACATCCCACCCCACCCATCTCTTCAAACAACATCCCACCCCCACCCATCTCTTCAAACAACACCCCACCCCACCCATTTCTTCAAACAACACCCCACCCGACCCATCTCTTCAAACAACATCCCAACCCCACCAATCTCTTCAAACAACATCCCAACCCCACCAATCTCTTCAAAAAAAAACACAAGCTCTCCACCCCCCTCAAGCAACACGTGCCACCCCCTGGGCCACCCCACGATATGATGAGTCAGTGTGTGAGAAATGTTGATGGTCCAAGCTCTGTCTGCACTAAATCACTCTGTCACTACATACCTGTTATCATAGATAAAGAAAGTGTTAAGTGCTACAATACACGGCTATGTTACATTCTCTACCACTTAAACACTTACCTAAACAAAGAATACCGCCCAAGCATTTTATTGAGAAGTTTTCATATTGACTTTTAATACCATGACAAATAACATTCTTACCTTGGCTTGTAAAACTTGTCACCAGGCACATGTGCCGTGGAGAGCATCCCCTCGACATGACCTACCCAATATTGTTTCCACCAAGTCCACATGTGACCCTGCCTGTTTCCACCCACACATCATAACCATGAGTACTAATCTTCAATGATAACAATTCTCTGTGCATGGTATACCATATTTCCCTGTTCTGATTGGCTGGCTTGGACTCCAAATCGAGTGTTATACAGCTATACTACCATTGTTATACAACAGTTATACTACTGTTACAAAAACATCACAAACTCCCTAGATTTCTTCAGTTCCTAAAAATCTGGGCTCCTTGCCATTATATATTAAAATACTTCATTTCAGAAACAATTGTCAATACTATATGTTTCACTCTATGTTACTTATTTACTTTGATAAATACACAAAAATGAAAAACAATTAATTTAAATCTGATACTCACTACTTCAATATCAATAATAACAAGGAAAAGGCAAAAAGTGAGCAAGGCTCACTAATACCCCTGACTTTGACTCCCAACATATTACTAAGTTCAAAACAGGAAAAAAAGTAATATTTTCTCAGAAAATCCACTTATTGAAATCAAACTTTGCACTCCACCTCCTGTTTGTATAGAAACGGTACCCTAATTGGAAAAGAATCGTTGATGTAGTTTTTAAGTTATAGGTCGCACAAATGTTAAAGTAAAAAGCAATGCTAAGTTTAAAAGATGAAAAAAATCATATTTTCTCAGATGCTGCACCTCTATTAGTATAGAGATTGTTCCTTAAATTTAAAAAGAATCCATGAAGTAGTTCTGAAGTCATAGGTCGCACAAATGTTGAAGTAAAAAAACATGTTAAGTTAAAATATGTAAAAATTCACAAATTTTCTCAGATTATCGACATATAAAAATCAAACTTTGCAGTGCACTTCTACTAGTATGGAACAGTTTGCTTACTTTTTTAAAAGAATCCATGCAGTAGTTTTCAAGTTATAGGTATAAGTCGCACAAGTGTTAAAGTAAAAAATGTCTAGGTCGAAAAATAGCTGTATTTTTTTCAGAAAATCCAAACATCAAAATCAAACTTCGCACTGCACCTCTCCTACGGGTGAAGAAAGAGTTCCATGAGTTCAGCTCACTCATCACATAAAGTTCAAACATATCATGACAAAAATCTATTTCAAAAGCCATGTCAATTTTACATGGCTGCTATACCTGTCTAAATAAATTCAAATCAACAAACACGTTGAATGGAAGTGAATATAATCAAAGTGAAACACATCTGTATTAAATGTTGCCTCCTTCTGGCTAGGCTGTTGAGGGACGTCTCCAACTTTGTATCCTCAAGCTGTGTTAACCAAATAGGACCAACCATGTGATAACAGCAAATACGACAACCACTAAACAGCCAAGTCAGCATATGTGGAAACACAGCCTTAGCTTCAAACAAGTGCTATACAGGATTAATATGACAGTCATCAAAGTGGAGTGAAAAACCATCAGGCAAACACATCCAAGGAGGCTGGTAAAGATTCTTCGTTGAATGTCTCCATTGGTGTGAACTGACTAGACTTGCTCCAAGGCTGTACTGAAAGAAAAGTCCATGGACGTGAAGTAATTATATCCTCCTAATAGGCAAGTCTAGATGTGGACAGGACTCCAGTCTCTTATAGGGACATGTTCTGATTATTAACATAATCTAGAACTTATGATTTAAACTAATCATTATTGCCATAGAGACTTGTGCAAGTCTATGAACTGACCATCCAGCCGGTTGACAAGCTAGCACACGTGTGGGGATGTTTTCATGACCATTCTTGTTCGTTCCTTTCGAGTCGACCAGCCCGAACTTGGCTCTGGGTATCACTTTCAGTAGATTTTTGTGTTATAATATGTTTAACTTGGCTGAACATAATTTTACTTAACTCGGGTTAAAGTCGCAGAGTGA